AATTCTTATATATATATATTGTTTTAAAAAAAAATAGCGGTTAGGGAGTGTAACATCAGCAAAGCAGCCCTCACAAACGTTCTGTAGAAAATATAATGAATGGGCAGGCGATTGAAAGTTAACATGAAAAAACACATTAAGTTTTTACAGTTTATTTAGTTAAACAGAACACTAACAGCTTTTTAAAAGATATTGGTTGAAGTATTGTATTGGACAATAACTTATGCACATGCTCAAGTGCAGTAAAATTCTTTACTTAAAGGTACTGGTAGGTAACAGGGGAGTTAATCTGTCTTAAAAATAGCTTTACATTATGTAAAAAAGCAATACTTCTTTAAAAAAAAATTTCTCATTAATTTTTGGCTTCTTTCCACGCAGTCTTATTAAAATTTGTTTTTTAAAAATATTATATACTAAAAGAGTTTATATACAAAAATATTGCAAGTTCTTGACAATACAGCACATTAACAAGCATTAACAAGCATTTTTTTAATAATTGCGTTATATAAAAATTCAATTTCTTCCAAGTTTAAGTTGTAAGTAGAAGCTAAAAGTCACTTCTTTTAATTATGTTATTTTTCATACCTGGTAACACCCTGCTAAAGATCACGGGGAGCCCCACTTTTCCTTCTGTTTTACTTAAGCTAATTTCTGACAGTATCTTATAAATTTAAAGCTTTCTTTTTAGTATTAATAGGATTAAATTTTGTTCTACTTCCTTTTAAGAGATCAGTTCTATGTTTTATTTATACTCCTAGTTTTCTGGTCTATACCACTAACGTTGAAGCCATATACCCACTACCCTCCCGTTTGGTGTATATATAGATATCTTTTTCTTGCAGTTTTTTTGAACAAAAGAGAGTTAACAACTCAAAACTTTTTTTGGAGTTTATTAGGAAACCGGAATGTTATAAATTAAAAAGTTTACACTTCGTAATAAAAGCGTTCCATTAGAGAACGTAGAACGTATAAAATGCATCACTAGAGATGCAGAGCGATGTTAGTAAGATACACGAGTCTATTTTAATGTAAATAATATTATGACCTCTTCTGAAGCTATTAGCAAGTTTTATGTCATAATTATTGCATAGCTTGGCTCAAATACATTTTAGAACTGTTGAAAGTTATAATGTCGATGAAAAAAAAATTTCCCTCCTCTCTCTCAAGTTAATTTACAGTTCGTATACGCCCAGAAATTTTTTGTTTGATTTGGGTCGAGTCTTTAGATTCAGTTTATTCATTAATTATATTCACACTTTCCACCTCTTACAACCAAGACTGTCTTTTGTCCACCATATTTTAATTTAATCTAAACAGTGTCAACTTCCCCTACAACATTCTAATAAGTCCTAATCCACCTTATTAAACAGTTTCAGCATTTTTTAGCTGTTAAGTGAGCTTGTAAAAATTGCTATCAATGCAAAACAAATCGAGTGGAGCGAGTATATATACTGGGTAATGACACTATTAGTAAGAATGCCCTGACCCAACTAGTAGCTTCACTAGAGAAAAGCTTTATACGGCAATATCGTAACTTCAACCCAAAATTTATATGAAATTACACTAAGGTCTCAGAAACGGAGCATAGCCTTATTGTCGCCACTCATACTGTTCTTGTGTCGACAGCTTTCAATGCACTTACTTGCTAGTTGAGGAAGTGTACATTATAACTAAGCAATAGTTACCAATGTAGTACTTAAGGGTATAAGAGCTCTGCTTGTTATTTATAAGAGATAACAGGCGACGCCAATATAAAACGCTCAAGCATCATCCTATCGAAAATCAAGGTTATTTTCACTTCATTAAGAGGACGCTACACAAGAAGTCGCACCCCTAGGTGTAAGAATATGAAACGGTACCACAGCGGGACTAAAGTGTGATCTGCATGAGCCACTCTCCTAGTGGGAACAGCGGGAAGGTACCACCTACTGAAGGGCTTAATTACCATGCCATTTTTGCCAATTTTAAAAGCGGGTATTTACCTATGGACTATTGTCATACCTCAGGTACCACATGAAACTTCCCAGAGTAACGGAGAGACTGAAAACAAGAGCTTGACTCAGAAAGGTATCATGATCACGGTCTCAAGGTTTTGTTGTTACAGTCTTTTTGACGGTAGAGGTTGACATGACTTGAGTCAAGCTAAGCCGAGATTGCCCTGTTATTCCATCTTTAAGTAGCGAGATATTACCACTCGCAAGTTGACCGCCAAAACTAACAGGATGGCAGACGAGTTTTTAATATAGGGCTGATTTTTTTTTGGCCGCTCTACGATAATATCCTCGAAAAATAAAGCAATTCTCTCTATGCTATAGGCTTAGGCTCCCGAGTTATAAACCATTAGCACTTCTATTTACTGCAAGAAGCACCTACACTGCTGAAGTATAACACTAAATTACCTAACTTTACATCATGATAAATCAATTGCCTAGATCGCGGTGGTCGCTACGATATGCGAGGTTGCCCGATAATATAACTACTATATGAAAATATGAAAGATTAAAAATGTAAGATGGCAAGGTTTAATTCAATATGTGCGAGGCGTACGTTCGGGCGTCCGGCCGTTTGGAGGCGGTTATCTTTTGTAGGTTTTTGCGGTTAATTATAAAAAATGACCCATTTTAGGTAATAAATGTGCTTCTATCCAGGCTAGTTATATATTACATGGCGCTATTAGCCAGTAACAACGAGTAGCTGTTAGCACGACCGATTATTGAGCCAGCTAGAAGGTAGCTTATGCACTTCTAGGCCAACGAAGACAGCTATTACTAAACTGTATTCAACCAGTCAGCAAGCACCTTTGACCAGTGCAAATAGTTTCATTATGTACCACTCATTTCTAGAAATGATGTAGCTTTAGGACGCACTCATTTACTTAAGTTATCCGTATCGTAGTAACTTAGGCTTTATAAAGTAAGAACAATATTTTACCAACTCGTCTATAATAAGGCCCTGGGATCAGGATAAATTGAGCAAGCACTAAGTCAGGACGCGGGCGGTACAACTAGTACATCAACAAAGGCTGCGGTGGATGATTTCACACTTGCGTACGTTTTCAACATAGTTCTTTTAACAGAATCGTGCATGACTCTTGGCCGTATTAAAACCAGAGGGATAGAACTACTAGTTAAAATAGAAGAAATTCATCAAGATATCAGCAAGATTTCTTCAATAAACCATATGCATGCTACTCAAATAATACCCGATCACTACCAGGCTGTAGCACATCCCAAATACCAATTATGGTTCCAATTTTAAATAGTTAAAGTACACTAGTTTATTTCGGTATCAGTAGGATCCTAAAATTACTTTCTAGTTTTATAGATGATTCCTAGTTTCTTCCTGTTGAAAATTTATTATTTTAATCTTGGGAGTAGCCTTTAGTAAAACAGCCCTAATTAAATTGCGAGTAAAAAAGTAAAACTCTAAATGGTAGTGAAATCACAAGGGAAGTAATGTTGTTTTACTAAAGTCAAAAGGACAAGTTAGAGAAATTGCATACAGGAAGTATTATTATTTTCCCCACAGAGTTAGAAACTAATAACCTTTGCCCAAGTCTACTTCTATGATTCTTAGGCCAAAGTGAAAGTTATATTATTAGCCTCCAATGAATGCTAGCTAGAAACCCAACCAACACATTGGGCAACCACCTTAACCACAATACAAATTTTAACTTTTATTACCTTGAATCGAAGCATTACCATTTTACTGCTAATTTAAAGAATAAGTAGGTCTTCATTTTCTTGTCTTTGATTTAATCTTACTTAGTGAACTACAAACCCCCAACGCCGTATTCCCACAACATCAGGGGTTTATTTAAATTATTATCAAGATAGTATTGATTCTGTGGTTTCTAACTTGATCTTCACAGGATAGCCGAAGCTTACAAACCGTGTTAATCTGCAGAGATATGTAGAAGTATGTTAGCTCCGTGGCAAAGTTTATCAGTTTCTTGCTTACTGATCCTTGAAAAAGGACCGACTTTCGTTAGTTGTCTTTCTGCTTCTATTCCGAAGGCAACCTTTGTTTTAGTAGCCTACGAATTAGTTAGTAATAGTATGTTTACTTCCCTACGTGAGTGTAAGAAAATTAGCAGACAATACCTCAAAGGTGAGCTTGATTAAACACATTGTTAACTCGTTACTTACCACGAATTACTTCTAGCTTAATCTATGACAACTGGTTTATAACAGTTGGCAGACAGTAACTTCACATTTTAAACTGTTCTACTTTAGTAAAACAAAACTTACTTGCTAGCACTATAGAAATAATAGCTAACTAGTTTGTCTTACTTAAGCAGTACGAAAAAACAATAAAAAGATATATCGGACCTCCTGGGCCCTATGGGCGACCTCTGGCCTTCTTATCTCTGGTAGGATTCTGGAGTCTACGCTAAGGGGCTCCAGAGGGATAAGTTTGTGCCAAACTTACTCCAGCAGAGTTGGAGCAGCGCTGGTGTACTACAAATATTGTTTTATTATCACCCAAGCTTAAATTTTGTTAACTTAAAACTAAAAAATCGAATTTTCGTGGAAGTTTTGTTTTCCCCTAAAATATTTTGAAACTGTATTATATGGGTAGTCAAGAAGTGAAATATAGCTTTGTTCGCAAAAACTTAGTAATATTTTATTTAAAAATATATTTTTAGAGCTTCCTGACCGCCTAAAATAAACAAACCAAAAGAAGAATAATGAAGTGTGCGCATCTCACCTTCAGGTGCTCAACCCTCATGTTACATACATACCAAACCAAATTTTGCTAAATTTTTTTTGAAAATGATTGTTAAATTAAGCAGGAAGTTTAGTTTGTTGACTATACTCTTTCAAAAAATCATTTGTAAACAAAACTTAAAGGCTGTCGAAAGTATAATAGTTACTAGGCATGCACAGTCATAACTATCGTCTAAAGCTTACTATTTATTAATCAAATTTCCTTTATATAAAGAAATTATTAATTAGAAACTGGAAAGTTTATTTCCAAAAAAAAATAAAATTGAAGTGTTAAGCCACTCGAACAAAAGTTTTTCCACTGGCAGTTTTTTTTTCTTTTTCAGTCTAAAAAAAAGTAAACTCAATATTCAAACAGTAAAAAAATAAATTTAATAAAAATAAAATAATAATTTATAAATTAACAATAAAATTAACCATAAAACTAAAAACTTTAAAAAAAAATTTTAAAGTACGTAGAGATTTATAATTATAAGTTATTGATATTGCTATATAATATTATTAAAGAAATATTGAAAATAGTATATATATATATTAACTTTTTTATATATTTTTCATCATGTTTTTTAATAATTACCATATTTTTTCTTGTACTTTAATATTTTTTATTATATATATTAAGTAATTATTTATATTTATTAAATTAATTAAATTAAAAATTAATAAAAAGTATAAAAACGGCTAAAGTATAACAAGAATTGTTCAATTAAGAAGGACTAAAGTTTTTTGTTTCAGATTTACATAGTATGCTTAACTCTTAGTATATAGAAAATCACAAGTCAATAATATAAAATATAAAATTGTGCTACAACAGTTTGCTTAGATTTATTATAAAAACAACTCCCCCCCTCTTATTTAAAACAGTTCATAACTTATTGAAAGAAAGTAGTAATAATAATTATGTTAATTATAATAATAATCATAATGCTATAATATACAACACAACATATATAAAGAATACATCAGGACGAGCTCTATTAAGTATCTTAATGCTGTCAATCGCACGCGCTCGCATTCGAGAGTGGAGATGAGCCTATTGAAAAACATAATATATAATAAGTAAATCATTTATAATTTCAGTCAAGAAATTAAAATATTAAAAAAAATTTAGTTAACCATAAAAATATTTTTAAGGATTTATGAATAAGAACCGGTATACAGAAAATTAAGTAATAAGTATTTTTTTAATAGATATAACAGTGGCAACACAATCAACGGCACACCTTACTGCACTTAATATGGTAGTGAAGGTAATTGCGGAACGACTGAAGTAAGTTAATAGTCTCATACCTGTTCTTATCTATATAAAGAAATTTAAAACAATAAAAAAACTAATTCCAAAACATTGCAAAGTGTAGCACTATAATAAAATTTTATAAAAGAACAAAAGGTAAAAAAACAATAATAGACATAACAAACCCGAAAAGTGACGAGGAAATAGAACAAAAGTGATATAGCTGACGTTATCCCCACGAAGAACGTTAAACGATTGCAACTCGCGTGGCGGTTCGCGGTGGCTGTATAAAACTACACGAAAGCGGTGCGCAATGTGAAAGCAATTTTTCCAAGTGTTAAAAAAAAAATGTTGAATCATATAAGTAGACATCAAAAAAGCGCAAAAAAAAAGTTGGGGTAAAAAAAAGGTTGAAATTAATAAATCAAAATTTTTTAAGTCACAGACGAACTACTATAAAGAGCACCCGAGCAAACCCAAAAATTTTAACAAAGTAAAATTGCCTTGCGGGGACTGTTGCAGATGTCGTTCTTTACGGATATCCACAAACTGCTGGAGGGCCAGTTTGCCAAGCACCACGTCGTCTTCATCCTTAAAAGTCGTCGTAAATACTGTATAGTTTTATAATTCATTATTAAAAGAGAGACCGGGTACTATTTTTATAGCAAAAAGTAGAAGTCAATATACCAATGCAAAGTTTTTTTTATTTTTAAAATAAAAAATAAAAAGCTCATCAACAAGAAAAAAGATACCACAAGTCACGCGGTCTTTCTCGACGGAGAGGTACAAACTCGAATCAGATCGGTAGTTGATCAAGATAGGAGAACACGTGGTCTCTTTTTAAATAATATTGTTAGAGAATTCACATTCTCTACGCTATTATGCAAAAAAAAACCTGCAATTTGATGGTTAAAGAATTTTTCAAAAGGCGCTGAGAACACCCAGCGCTTCAATAAAGAGGCTTTTTTAATGATCTCATCTACCATAAAATTAACCAACAAAAAAAATTAGTTGAACCTAAAAGTTCTTCCCAATAGAAATCAGAGCATGTTTATATAAAAGAACATACCGGCTATAAAAACTGTTAATAAGTTAAAGATTCGGACAATTCCATAATATTAAACTTTTTTTTTTAAAATGAAAATTTTTACTAAAATAAAAAAATATATGCTTAACAAAATAGTGACCGCCGCAATAATAACTAAAAATAAAGACAAAGACATTATATTGATAAACAAACAATTATATGTAAAGAAACACGACTTCAACTATAGAAAAAAAAATAGAAAATCAATTTTATGTAAAATTAAATCCGTAAAGTGGTTGTAATATTAAATTTTTTTGAATATAAAAATATAACTAAAATCCGATAAAGTTATGAGTTTATAACTAAAAAATTCGCTTCGATTAAATTGAATATAATTTCTGTTTTTCGTAAATACTATTATAGAAGGTAAACTTCAATACTTGATACAAGTGAGTTTAATTTACTATTAATAAATTGTCGATGCCTTTATTTGGAGCATGCTTCTCTAGATCCACAAGAATTGTAACGTCATAGCCTTGGCGTGGAGAAGTCAACATATCGTCATATTCTCGCTTCAAGATCTCTTGGGTTCCACCTAAAAAATTTCAAAGTGGTATTGTTTAATAATATATTTTAAAAAATTAGAACCAAGGTTTGAATAAACAATGAAGTTGATTAATAAATGCCTTCTTTAACTAAATTATTAATAGAAATACTATAAAAAGTAAAAAAGATGTAAAAGAAATTTATAGATCGACTTCTTTATAAGTATTCTCTAAGTAAATGAAATTATTATCAGTATTATACTATGAATGTGCCCTTATTATTTTCTTATAAAAACGAATAATGCCAAGATAACACAGAAATAAGTTTCAACTCATAAAATAATAATCTAGAAAGTATAAAACAGCAATTTTTTTTTATAATATTTAATCCAACTTAATGAAGAGGATACCGACAGTATTCTGTTTAAAATCAATAAGTATGTAATATTTGCGTTCAAAAAACTCTGAAAAAAAAACACAGCAAATGAAGATTTTTACATAATAAATTGTTATAAAATTTATAAAAATACTGAGGTTTTTATAAGTTATGTTATCAAGTCCTAATCACAAATTAATAATCTTTACAACAAAATTCCAAAAATGAAAACATTGAACTTTAAAAATAGTTTTTCAAAAAAATTAGTAAACAACAGTAAAACAAGTAAACGATAATAGTTAGAAAATTAGGGAAAGTGACACACATATTTAAAAAATTCTTTTTAATGTTGCTTTATCTACTACATATTCTTTTAATTATATAAATATTTATTATAAAAAGGTCACATAGACTGTAAAGGATTCTAATCTTTTCTTTAAGCAACTTAGCTTTAGTTAATATTAGTAATACAATACATTTTTCCAGCTCTGAATAGCAAGTCCAGTTAAGAGAGATGGCAATGTTGGTTTTAACTTTTAAAGTCTCAATGTTAATTAGGACGCCATCAAAATCAGCCACGGTGGAAGAAATTGCCTCCGGTTTTTCTCTTAAAAAATAGAAGTATTTCTATAATAGTATTTCTTAAAAATAGATAAGAACTAGGTGTAAACTGTTTGATGTTTTTTTCTAAGGGATATATAATATACTTACGATTGAAAAGCTCGGGTCAGAGTTTCAACAATTATACGACTGTGGAATTCAAGAAAAATCATAACAGCTGCTCATAGATAACGTTAGTTCAAACTGCTACCAATTTTAATTTTAAACATATGAAAGTAGTAATGATAATTTAATACTATTGAGTGATACAATCAGAAAATAAAAGTATAGTAAGTTGTCATAACTAAACAAATACAACGTATATAATGGGGGATTAATAGTATACAGCTATTTAAAAGAGGTAAAAATCTAAAACTTGATAAAATAAATTTGACTATAGTAAAAAGCCTTAATAATTACATAAAAGCAAAGGTAGAAAGGCAGCCAAACGGTTATATACAAGGATACAAACGCAATAGAAATGCCGGGGGAGTAGATTTTCAGAAAATTTTTATAATTATGCTACGTTTTTCCTATTTTAGGGAAAAACGATCAACGACCGTGCATAAGCACGCTACGTAACTTACTGGTACCCATTTAGTATTTTAAGTTGCAGTGTCTTTACTGTAAGTCAATTAGATTCGAAACTTTAGCAATAAGGCTAATTGCTATTCCAAAGTTGGCACTAGAAAACAACTGTTTAATTGTTTAAGGCTAAATAGGGAATAAAAATTTACGCAATCTTTTGACCCGCGCAGTCCTCCTGAGTTTTTGGATGTAGCCTGTGCACGACTTATTACCTCAGGTTTACGTTAAATTTTTAACCTATTCACGTAGCGCTTTATTTTCATATGTTCATACATTTGAAAACTTATTCTTAAATCTATAAGTATGTCCTTTTATAACATAAACTTTGCTACCACGGAGCGTCCCTCTGCGGTCACTGCTAGGCAGCGAGATAATATTACTAAACTGTTAGCTGAGAATGCCAAACTTAGAAAAGAACTAGAGGCTTTAAAGAAAAAATTAGCTCACTTGGAGAAAGTAAATTGCGACAAAGTAATTTCTAAAAGACCTAAGGAACCTTTGGGTCAAACATTATAAAAAATGAAAATAATTACCATTCTTTTTAACCCTCCAACTTTTAGGTGAACCTTGTTTTTATAAAGAGGTTACTGAAGACAGCGTTATGGTAGAGACCACTGTAGACTTATAGATAGTAGTATTAAACATACCAACAACACTAATTAGGTAAATAATAAAAACTGTAACCCCATTAAAAAAAACCAGTTTAAAAACTACGTTAACAGTAGTGCTGATAATAGCAACATTACTATAGTAAAGATTTTAATAAATACAAAACTATTAACTCTAGTAATAACAGAACTAATCAAGTCTTTTAAACCTTTTCCAAAGACAAATTAAGTAATTGAGATGACTATAGCTAGTCGTGGTGTCAATACCAATATTTATAGTAGTACTACTAATAGTATTAATAATACAGAAACTGATAATGACAACAGTATTGATAACAATAACATTTATAATAATAATGACCCTATGAGCAACCAGCCTAAAATTAATAGAATACCTCCGATTATAATTCGTTACAAACTAGCTTGAAATTTGTTAAACAACAAAGTATCGACAACAAAATTGATATAAAAAGCGCCAAAGTCCTAAGACACGGAATTCATGTGAACGTAATCCTGCGGAAGACTACCGAGAACTAACACATACTCTTGACGGAAACTGCTGTGAATATTATACATACTAGCTGCCTAGCAAAAAAGAGCTTAAATTGTAATTCGGGGTATTTTCGTAGAGATTGATTCAGACTCTGTAAGGACATATCTTGTGTCTCAAGGGTTCAACCCGTCTGAGGCAATTAGAATGCGCTCGTAATTTTTTTTTAGAAAGAAAAGACAACCTCTACCTCTTTTACTCGTTAAGTTGTCTAGATGCGAAGCAAGATTCTCTGTTTTAAAAAGTACAGCTTGTATCGCCATGTCGGTTGAGCCCCTAAAAAGAAGCGGGAAGATCGGCCAGCGCGATAGATGTCAACTATTTGGAGATACAGAGAAATACTGCGAGTCAAGCTACAAATGCGTCAATTTTGCGGGGCCCTCACTAGTCGAAGTCCTCACTAAAAGCGAGAATGGAAAGCCTACCTGCGCCAATTGCCGAGGGGAGCATCCCTCAAGTTAAAGAGGGTGCTCATACTACCTGAAAAATCCACCTATGAGAAAAATATATAAAAATACCTCAACTAAAGCTTCCAAGAATCCTGAAAACTTTGTTGAAGAAAATAAGTTATGCACAGCGTACTAAACTGAACTTATCACCTGAAGCAACTAATACAGCTCCCTTAAATGAGATGATGAATAACTTTGTAGCGCCATTTACCAATACAATCAAATCTCATCTGGCAAAGACCAAAACGGAGCAATTTCAAAATTTAAATTATTATAAAGTAAATAACTCGAGGTCATCTCTAGTTCCTTAAGAATTTTAGCATGAAATGCCAACGGCGTTCGATGCAAGAAGCAAGAACTACAGAAACTTATTGCCCGAATGAATTTGGACTTTATTCTCGTTTCTGAAACATATTTGATGGAAGGTAGTCGGTTTAGAGTACCTAACTATTTTCTTTACAGTAGCGACAGGGAAGATACGGAGAAGGGGGGTAACTGTCCTAATTAAAAGTAACATTATCCACCAAGCACTTTATTTTTCGACTTGGTAAGTTTAGAAGCTGTCGGCGTGGATATAGAGCTCTGTCACATGGGAAATTCTATATAATTGCTCCATATAAATCATCTGATAAGGTTATGCATAAAGTTGATGTTGATAAGATTTTTGCGGATTCCTCCAGCAACTTAATTGCTGGAGATGGAAAATAAAAACTCTTTGTAGAATACCAGGCGGGGAACGCCAATGGAAAGAGGTTTACCGACATAGCCACGGAAAAGGTTTAATTGTTATTGGTTCGAAGGACCCATCACATCGCCCAGTCATAGGGGCTTGTGATGTTTTAGATATCACGTTAAGACAAAATATCTACGTACTTGTCTCTGTCAACACGCCATTTGATCTCTCTTCTGAGCATAACCTTATCCTCATAAAGATAGGAGACAAGTCGACCTCGAGTGCTTGGGTTAAAAAGGTAACTAGTTGGCCAACCTTTCGAGATCACTTAGACAGAAGCATTGACACCATGGCGCATACCATTGAGAGAGCTTCTTGGTTTAGGCACGGCTGTTGTGTTATTGGAGAGGGCTATAAAGGAGGCCTATAGTAGGTCCACTTAATATGAAAACGCAAAAACCAGCAATATGGCCTAACAGACCATATCAGATCGCTGGTTAAGAGAATACCTAAGTTGAGGGTAGGATATATGAACTCTTGTTTTCCAGCGATAAAAAACTTAACAACAAGATCAACATTTGAATTAAGGAGGAAAATGCTTGGCTTTACGAGAGCTGACAGAATAATTTAGTCTTCTGGGCCAAAAATAATTCCCTATAAAAATTAACAAGGGCCATATGATCTACTGAGACTAGCATAATGCCGTCCATCCACGACGCTGGACGCTCAGGACGATGCCTTCCGAAATAGTAGAGGCACCGGCCGATTCAATGGAATTTCACCAACTATAATAGAGTCCGACCATAATGAACAATGAACACCATTCCAAGCACGCGTGCCCACCATAGTTACTGCTTACCTTTTATAAACCTAATATATGTAACAAGGTTAAGCTTACCAGTAGTAAGGAACTTATAACTATTATCCAATCCCTTAATACAAGGAAGCCTCGAGCCCCAACTGTATTTCTAAATTAATGCTTGAAAACATAACCCCACAACATACTAATGAGACAGGCACTTGATTAGTTTTTTCGTTGATACACCAAGTACCCCGTGGCCAAACATTGCCTAGATCTATTTGAGGGCTGACCATAGTTTATCTATTAACCTAGTAATATATATTAATATATAAATATTTTTTCTAATAATATAACGGTATTAAAACCTTTTTATTACATGTAATATTGTTATTACTTTGCTAATACGTCTTTATTATGTAGCTAAAGCTCATACCTTCTTATCTTTGATGGTGCAATGAATCGTTAGGGAAGTTGTGACTTTCGCACCCTCAATCAATAGAGGGAAAGTAGATTAAGCAGCAGTTGACCGTAAATCACGACTGTAGCAAGCCAGTGCTATAAATAAAAATAAAAAAGAAGTTTTCGCTTCAGGGGTGCTACAGTTTTTAAGTTAATAATTATTATATAGAACATTTTCAATCAAGCAGTCTATAACCTAGAAAAGCAAGTATTCAACAATCGTTATTATTATAAAATTAAACTTAAAACTCGAAGTCAGTGGAAAAGATCAAAAAATACTCAGTCTTTGGTTTAAAAAGACAGAGGAAGGAATGATTGTAAAACTTTTTTTTTGCTCTAATTTGCTTACAACTACATTTATAAGTCCATAAAATTAGAGTAAAACACGTTCACGATTATAACAAAAGTAATACATATTTATTTATAAAGTATCAGAAAGTTTTATACAACAAAGTACAGAATATTATTGTTGTATTGTTTTTTACGAATAGCTTAAATTGAGTAGCCGTGATCAGCGAATGATACTTTATTCGGCGACCAACTAAGGAAAAAACGGGCCTATGTTTAATCAACAAAAACACAAACGGAGGGTAGCTCGCACCGGAAAAAGCATCCCGAGTAACACTTTCTTTATATACAGCATTACTAAATCGACTTTGCTTTCTAGTACTTACAATGGTTTTGAAGCTGTTGTGGAAAGCTCAGAACACTTAGTTAAGTATAAAATCACTAAGTGAGCGGTGCACGCACCGACATAGTGAGGTCATCGCGAAAGCCAAAGCTTTCGTATGTTGAACTGATTTTAAAGCAGTAACGATTGCCAAAAAAAACATTAAAAAATGTAAGTCGTTTTCTCTTAATAAATTAATTTTATGGCCTAACACTAAACTGTTAGAGTTTCAAGTAGGTTATTTCCGTGAAAAAGAGGGTAATTCAAAGCAAAAATACACATCTTTCTTGGTTAATTATGCATTCCAAGCGTGAGGAATTATCTACCCTTATATTTATCGGCACGTCACTAAGCCGATGAGGCGACTTAACTTCTTCGCGCTCATAGATATGGTAAAGGCACACTAGTTTCAACAGAAATAACTCAGACTATGTAGCTCCACAGTTCGTATATACCGCCACAAGTGAGAGTCGACAAATCCGCAGGACTTGAGCTAAAAATCTACTCGAGAAAGAAAACTTGGTATACCCATCAACTTTCTTTTTAAATACTTAATGACATTAGAAAATACGATTAGTATGTAAAACCCACGTTTATAAATGGGTATATAATTCCCTTTGGGCTAGTGGCCTAAAGAGCTTTAGAGAGTGACATATTTAAGAAAAACTAGCTGCCTTTCTTTTAAAATAATA